GATGGTCCCTGGGAACTGCAGTGACCTTAAATAGTGTTAAACACCCTATTGCAGTCGTGAGCTCATACATGTGTACTTTATGCACCATGATTTTCATTTTCCTGTGTCACTACCCAATGTAAAAGGGTCCTTTTCAGTACAGTTCATGTTCACACACAAAATGGAGTCTACTAAAAATAGCTATTGTGTGTTATGAATCAGCACTGTGACTTTATAAGTACACAGAGGAAATAATTGAAACCACAGGAAATCGTAAAACAACATTTAAAATCAGGACTGACACATATGTACTAAAAACTATGCATGCAAATTAAGTTGTTAAATATTAAGAATTACAATAGTTTATTTCTTTAGTCTGCAGACTTGTATGAAACTACATAGTGACAAATCGCTCATCTAGTCACAGAATGAAACTACATTGTGAACAATCATTTGATGCTGTAGTCGACTCCCAGACCCTGTACTGGGCAAGTGTTTGGAAGATGAACCATGTATATATAGGCAGAAAAGTGTGCATTACATTGCAGAATTCATATTCAGATCCTTCACTGTTAAAGCTATACAAAGGTCAGTGTGGGTCACTAACCAAGATTACAAGTTACCTAAATGAAAGGAAACCTTCAGGTAACTATGCATCACTATATCACTCAACTGACTTTTGACAACACTGGTCTGAGTACAGCAGGGTTCCCTAATTCCGGTCCTGGAGAGCCAGTTTGCAACACAGTTTGTAGATTTCCCTGCACAAACACACCTTATTCAGCTCACCAGCCAATTGCAGGTTTACTAGGTGTGTCTGAACAGGGAAATCAGCAAAGTGTGTCACAGACTAGCCCTCCAGGACCGGATTTGGGGAATCCTCGAGTACAGTATTAGCTGCTTTCATCCAGGCTGAAATCAGTGTGGGGCTCACTGCTCAGGGCCCCCACCAGAGGATGCCGTTCAAGAGAAAGAATAAAGTGCAAGTGCATAGTTTTACAGTGTTGACATATCACAGGCATACATGGCCTACATATTGTTTTATTATAGAATATCTTTTTCCCATAAACTGCAGCGTGAATATGCAGATCAGTAGCCTACAATTTTTAAAACACAGACACTAAATGTCTTGTTCTAGATGTATTATTATATGCAAAATGTAGGCCAGATAAGTCTATTTTTGTCTATATATATTATATAAATGTAGTTATATATCTTTATATTGCACACACCAATTGCCCTGCACATCCTTTTAAGAGCCAGATGCATAAATAAATGCATAAACTGTGAGATACTGTGAGATAGGTTGTGAGAAAGGTTGTGTTTGCATCCTCATGCACAAAAATGTTCTGAGAACTAACCAATCAGATGAATTGGTCCTAACTCCTCTAGTTGCTTAGACCAACATCCTCTACAATCTGATTGGTTATCTCCCTGAACCAATCATTTTTCGTTCTGCCCTCCTAACATTTTTGTGTAAGTAAAACTGCCACAAGCTTATTATGACCCCCAAGGATCTTAGAATATTGTTATCAACATTTGTGTCGCTATTTGGAGGGTAATAGTATTTTTTAAATAGCACTGAATAGCACTGAATTTGCTTTGGAAAACTGATCATAAAAGGACTAAATCAGTATGTGGGAAATAATGTAGAATGAAAGAGCTGGGATTTGTTGTTGCCATAAAAGTAAATAAAAAATCTCAAAAGTATTAAAAAGTGTAAAATTTATTGTTGAATGAGAATGTTCTTGGGTGTTCAAAATACCTACATACAACATAAGCTGTATTCATGTCCAAAACTATAGTATGTAAAAGAAGTCTAGAGAATATTCTTTTTCGTTCTATTCCAATATTAAATGTACATCTCTTATTGACTATTTTGTATGTATAATGAACTAACAACATGGGAGTCAGTGGGAGACAGGACAGTGGCACAGGACCGAACTAAGTGGACTCAGTTGGCTATTGATCACCAGGACCCATTCCTTAGTTGGAGAAATACATCTGGCCTGGATTGGACTAATTACCTCGTTATAAATAAATTGGCCCAGCTGGGTGGCACGTCCCACTTAAGAAGTAGTATATTTTAGTCACCTGTTAAAATAATGGGCCCTTTCAAATAGATTATGGTCATTTTGGTTTGGCCAGTTGACCTTTGGTTTTTAACATTAGAAATGTCAATTAGAATGGTGCCTCTAATATCTGGCTAGAGTTCTGAGTCAGAGAATAGGCCAGATAAGTTGGGGAACAGTACTGGGCTAGGGATAAAATAAATAAGGCATCCCAGCCCCATATCAACTGTGTGCCAGACCTTGCTGTGAATGCTGGCAGGAGACCTCTGAGCTCCATGGTGGCAGTGACATCAGGAAGTTAAGCTCCTGCAATGAGTGGGATTCTGTCAGTGACCTGCAGCAGGAGGGGGACAATGAAACAATGGCAGCCTAGCTCCATAAACTTACTAGGAAAGCCTAGAGCAACTTGAAGGTCCTGGATGTTTGAAAGAACAGGCAAGAGGACTACATTCAAATCATTAGTATGCACTGCCTTTCCTAAGGTAGACACCATAAAGATCTGATTCTCAGCACCACAGGTGGTGTAGGGGCCTCAAATAAGAACTTTTCAGTTATCAAGCACAAGGTAGGAATCCCATGTGGAAGACTGGAGTCGTCTTTGTTTCAGTGTGTGGAAGATCCCAAGGAACAGAGCTGTGCATGAAGGCATTCTAAACGCAAAGATGGTCATGTCATGCTCAAAGCCACACACAGTGCCATGGCGGAGCCTACTGTCCTGTTCCGTGTCTCTTGCTGGAGTATACTGTATCCCACGTGTGTGACTCCAGTGCTGCTTCTTAAACTTGGAGGGGCTGCTGAATGCTCCGGAAGAGAAGCTGGAGAAATGGTGCCTCAAAACATTGTCAAAGCCATTGATTTACTGTACACCCAGTGAAACATTCATCGCCTCCACCAGCTCGCCCTACAATGTCTTACCAAATTGTACTTTTCCCTGGTTTTCTCTCAATGCCAATCCACCGGGTTTTACCCACTAGCCAGTTCCTTGGTGACCTATTGATGCATCTGATCCGTCTTATGTTCTAAGCCAGAATGATATAGAAGATCTGCACCTCCCACTGATTTCTGACTCACTCATGGCCCACGTGGGTCTGAATATAAGGTGGAAAAGTATGAGCGTGTAGGAGGTGGAAGAGGTGCATGGAGATGACTTCAGTGATCAATCACTGCACCCTGCCTACAGATTCCTCAGTTAGTAAAAGCCCAGCTAGCCCTGATTAGACTTAATACACTAGCATAAATATAAGGTCAGTGGGTAAGCTCAGATGAGGGCATATTTTCAGTTTAATTTGCTTTATGTCTTGACCTTTAGGGCTAATTTTAAGAGTAATCTAAATAATTTAAAAGGGCTTTGTCCCAATTTTGTATGGTTTTTGGAAATTAAGTTTATTGATTCCCTGCAGTCCACCATCCAACTCTTCTATTTTTGTTGCACATCTAAACCCTAAAACTACGAAGGAATTGTAAGAAATTTGGATGCTTTTGACTGATCGATGATGCATATAATTACTGTTTAGATACTTAATGTTTACTTTGCTGGACTATTAAGGTTACTGCATCCCATGTTCCACTTGCATATTTCCCACAAGTTTTATGTTAAACCAACTTTTGACATGCAAGTATTACATTTACCTGACTAACAAACAAAACATGAATTCCGTATAATTCTTAGTACAGAGATTTAGATACATTACGAACTAAATGCCCTGAATGGGACCAATACTCTTAAATTCTATACTGAAGAAGATATAAAGAATGAGAAAATGATTTGTTTTGAATCAATGAAATATAATAGTGAACTAATATAATTCGTCTGAGGATAAAGATTTGTTATATAGCACCTGAATTTCTATATTCCATAGAATAAGTACCTGTGAGCAGCCACTGTTTTAGAAAGGAAGGACAGCTGCTTTTCATTTAAATGTACATGAGCACAAACATACACAGTATCAGAGCAGAAATAAGATGCATTTAAGTATTCTGATCGGACTGAAGCGCTAGACCCAGGCTTGTTTAAGGTGAAGTTGCTATATGTCTAATACTATCAGGACTGCCAGTCTCTTGAAACTGATCTACTAATTTTCTTGGCAATCCTATAATGTCAGTCTCAATCAGATGAATTAGGGTCATTCAAGCAGATAGGTTCAAATTACACCCATACCTTATTTCAGAAGATTAACATTATATTTGATAAGACAGAGATCAGTGTTAAAGGTACTTCAAAATCGCTCCTTCATTTCTGGTTTATAATCTCCTAATAAGTCTAAATTGTATGCAATTTATGTATAAATTGCAAAGCATTTCACTTAATTTTATCTGCCGGTTACAGTTACAGCTGAGCCAGTTATACTGACATAAGAACAACATAAAATTGTTGGAATCCAGTATCTTCTTTCTTGAAATACTGAAAAGGGGACAGTTTAAAGATTTTCTTAAACATTGTGCAGATGGTTATGAGAATTAAAGTTCAGAAGAATTTCCAATTTTCAACAAGCAAAATATGTCTGACCAAAAAAAAATGTAACTGAAACTGGTTCTGAAATGAAATGGATCATATAGAAGGTTCTGCATGTCACATTCCTAGGGACATGCCTATGTATGGAAATTTAACCACGAACACCAGTTTGAAAACATCCAGTTTCTCATCTTTACCAGTTAATTGACACCACATGATCCATTATAGCCATTTTCTAAAATTAAAGTAGCAAAGACATTGCAAAATATATTGGCATCATATTGGGTCTATAAGTGGTTATTAATGTGTATGTATCCTGACACCAATAAATAAAATTATTCTTTAATTGTGTACCTATGAAGCATGACTTGAAGGTCAACCGCATGCGACCGACACGTATTACAATAGGCTACTGTAAATAGGCAATGCACCAATCACTTGGCTCCTGTAATGACTACTTAGACAGTCAACCCCAGAAACAAAACAGAAACCAACAGTCGTTGCCGTTAACGTTGCCGCTGTGTCTATTTTTTGACACCGTCGGTGACCCGACGTCTGAGATATGATCAGGTTTGTCAGTTTGAGCAAACCCATAGCCATGGACGTATGAACAGCACCGCCCCGTTCTCTGTCTACTTGTTTGTTTTAATCTATGGCAGCCGGGCTCGATTGACGCTGCCTGCTGCTCCGCCGCTGCGGCTGCCTCGGAATAACAAGGCACTTCGTTAATACCAGTCCATTGGGGCTTTCTCCCATACACCGAGAGAGCCGGAGATCCGCAAAAGCCAGCGAGGCAGCCGAGCCACACTGCACAGCCCGAGCTCCGCAACCCGGCATGGCTTCGGGAGACCTTTACGAGGTACCGTACCCCCCTGTCATGGGCTACGCTTCTTAAAATTGCCATATAATGGAATTAGGAAGTAATGGAAGGTATCTGCGTATAGAAAAAACCAATGTCCTGAGCCCTTTAACAGGCTAAAGCGACCCACCATTCAAGCTGTATGGAGATGAAGGTCTTCTTTTGTGGCTTTTTTTAATTGTTCCATCTTCTGGTAGTTGGAATTTGGTATCTGTAAAGTGGCACGGCGTGGTAGAGTAATCTTGAGCATCTGAAGATGTGAACTCCCTCCCGCTCAGCGCACCAGTCTTGAAAGTCGTGATAAAGTGCAAAAATGACAGATGGACTAAACTGTCTCCTCCATGGAAAATTGCTGCAGATGGGGGGTGATCATCTGGGCAGCGAACATCCTACAAGATGTTTATCATTAGTAAATGGTAGCTGTGGTGCTTAGTGACGATTTAGTACCGGTTACCGCTGCTCATTGTGATATCTGTGTTTTAATTGAGCCGATTCTTCACTCATATTATTTGACATGCTGAATTTATGGTGTAGCATAATGGGTTAAAAGTTGGTGACTGTTGGCTGACTGTTCGTCTAATGTTCCCATGTACTGTTGAATCTTCGGGGAATATTGCGTCCATAATTTAGTTTATCTTGCCAAGTCAACGTGCTCTTCACGTGGCGTTGCCTGGTTGTTAATTTATAATAATTTATAATAACTGCCGCTGACTTCAGCTCGGTTTTGGAGGAGTGATGTCATGGCGACGGCCAGCGTTTCAGTTTCTCTTCCAGTCGCCAAACGTGCTCATCCAGCGCATCCTACGATAAGGTGGAGAGGGGGTACCTCATGGGGCATGGTCACGCCAAAGCCACGCCACGTCGGGCTTCGAAACCATGCTGCATTTCTACATCTCACGATTTAGCTTGAACTGTACTGATAGTTCGAATTTTTTGCCGTAGTGAGGTTTCAGTACCAATTAGACAGCTCCCTCACTCATTGGCTTCTAAAAGGGCTGGGATGTGTATTACACCGCATTTCAGCCAATTTGATGTTTTTGACGCGTAGACTATTAATTCATGGCGATGCGTAATTGCGAATATATATCGATGTGCATAATTTGGATGACTGTCGCAGCAAACACACGGGACAATCTGAAGTTTTGCCGTCGACTTAAGTTTTGTTTTCTAAATTTGGGTCTTAAGCAAGATAGTTATATTTAACGTGACATTTAATATGACCGATGTTTATGCAGAGTTAATAGGCTGAAAAAAGCAGTTTGTCTCTTTAATGTCTTCTTCTCTGAAACCTGTATAATTTCATCCAAGATGGAGAATATACTGAAACTGTTGATTGAATGAATGACATGAACACTAAATGCATATTTGCACGCTGCTCGTGTTTTCATCTCGTTTCATCTCTTCATACCCCTTTTGTAATCAAGTAACGATAGATTAATCTAAACTTAAGTTTTCGATTTAGTGTTCATTTCAGAAAATATTGCAGTACGGGGGCACATTTCGAGCACATATTACTTGCGCACATCACTTTTGAAAAATGAGGTAATTGTTGCTCAATTACTGTATATAATTTCACCAATTGTACTGCTTTCAATGAGCCATTGAATGCAATTGATAGAGTTTTATAGGGTTAAATAATTTTGTTTAACTGTGCCTTAGGTTTAATGTCATGTGACTCCTACAATGCCATTCCATGCCTTCAGTCAGTAGCCTAATTAAAAGTTCACCTGGGAAGAATATATAAGAGGGTTTCCTGGACCTGGATTAAAACATCCTGGAGTAATATAAACATGGCAGCACCTAATAATAATAATAATAATAATAAGGCTTCATCTGCATATGGGATTGAATAAACTGGGCATAAGGTCAATTGGTTTTAGAGGAAGCATTCTGACCAGGGGCGGATTAAGGTGTACAGAGGCCCCTAGGCTACAGTAGTCTGTGGGCCCCCCCAACCCCGCCCCCCTCCGCGCCAATGGGGGCCCCCTTGCAGGCTGGCACACGTGGGGCCCCCCAACCCCGCCCCCCTCCGCGCCAATGGGGGCCCCCTTGCAGGCTGGCACACGTGGGGCCCCTAGGCTTAAGCCATATCTAGCCTGTGCGTTAATCCGCCCTTGATTCTGACACACCGACATTGAAGGACTGGTAGGACTAATCAGCATGGCCCTTAAAGTGTGGAGGCCACAAGAAGGAGACATTGCCTTTGAAAAGAAAAGCGGAGACACGTGGAAGACTGTACCTTGTAGTTATCCACACGACACTGTTTTACACAATGTTGTGCTGTAAGGGTGGATGTGCCTTTCATTCATGCATTCGGCTACTCTAGATAACGCAAGGTAATAGTAGTTGGGGGTCTTTTATTCCAGTGGACGCAGACACCCAAAGGCAGGCTTTCATGGTATGTTAACCGCCTAATGCCCAGAAAATCCAGATCGAGTGTCCAAGCCAGAGCGGAGAGGATTTAGCTCTCATGATTCATGTTGTTATTAGATACTTATATTTTACTGCTCTGAAGCAGTAAATTTGGCTGCTACAGCAGCACATGCAGCACAAAATGCATTAAGGCTAGAATAATATAGGCAGAACAAAGCAAGAAAACAAACAGACATCAACAGGTAAATAGATGAGTAGGTCTGACAGTTGATTTTATACATGGTTTGACCTAGCCTGGTCATTGGTTATGTAACCACTGGCTCTTTGTGAGAATGAGTGTGGACGCATTGGGACAATGCATTCTGCAGTCTTGTGGCTGGTGGGAGAAAGGAGGCTTGTTGTGGTGGCAGAAGTGAATGGCTACCGGTGCTTAAGGACACGACATTGTAAAGGGGAGGGACAGTGTTCCTCATTATGGCCAGTAACTTTTGCCATCATTCATCTTTTGGTGACTGACTCCGGGGTCAACCCTGTAACAGAGCCGGGCCCATTAGAGCATCCCCATTAGCTCGCTGCACACATTGAAAGACCTGAGTCTTCACAGAAAATGGACAGCCAGCTCTGGCCTTTTGTGTAGAGTTCAGATTTTTTGTCCGTTCAGTCCAATCAGCTGCTTAAGTGGCCCTGCAGGTGCTTCCACCACATCCACATCCTCAGCCTGAATGATCAATGATTTCAGAGGCACAATGGAACAACACACAAGAAGTTCTGCCCAAATAATAGCTTTTAAACAGTGAGCTAAAACACCAGTATAAGTTTACAGAGCACTTAATTGGACCTGTTGGACTTTGTAATATCTTAACCAATGTGGGGGTGATGAGGGGTGGAGAGTTAGGAGAGTGAACTAAATCACTTCAAAACTTCTTTACATATGTGATTCTGATAGACAGCAAAACATTTCCCCCTTGAGGGGATCAATAATGTTGCATTTTGTAAAAACTACAAATATTACAAATGAAATACTAGATAACCAAACTGTGAAGCAAAAATGGAACTGAATGCAACATCATGAATGGGTACAGTATTTAAAGCAAATACTCGCAGGGTTAGAATATACATTAAAATAATGTCATATAATGTAAGATTGGCAAGTGATAGATAAAGACTAAACAGTGGCTTGGCTGGGTGTCTTGGTGTAGCTCAATGTTATATCAGAGGAATGAGCTATATATATATATATATATATATATATATAGTCCATTTATATATATATATAAAAATCTGAATTTAGATATTCTGTAATACATGGCCACACTCAGTGAGATTAGAAAACTGCAACTTTGGTGAGGCAAGGTTATTGGCTAATTTCAAAATAACTAACAATTTGAAATACACATGAGAAGGACGGTGAATGGTTCTTAACACGTGTATTAATCTGGTTTCATCTGTCTATCAGAGCTTAGTGAGCTTCACAGTCATACATGCTGCATGGGATTGTGGCAGCAGTGCAGTGATAGGGGGACAGAACATCGCTGTGATTACTGTGCAGTGTCGACGAGCGCCTGGTGGAGCCAATGGGAAGCAACTAAGTAGCCAATGAGAAGTGACTGACTGCTCATGGTGATCATACCCACTATGGGTTTCGATTCATGATTCTCCCACCACTTCAGCTTGGTCAGAATTGCTCATTTTAGCAGAAGTATATCACAGTGTGTAAGCATACAATTTCAAAAGAGAACACTGTGGAAAAATGGTCCAGATAATGAGCAGTGGACAAGGAATAAATGGACTAAATCTATGTTGTCAACTTATTTTTTTATCTGGAAGAAATGTACATTAAAGTTATAACACGGGGGGGGCTTGTACATCATTTTAGTATTTCAGCAGATGTGTGTAATTTAAAGTATCATGCTGTGGCTACACAGAGAAGTAGAACACAAAGTAGAACTCTGGGCGTTTTATTTACAGAAAACATTGATATTTCGGGGTGAGTTCAACAGTGACAAGAACATTCCTGATGTTCAGGTTGCCCTGCAAGGACAGCTTAGTCATGATAAATCTGTTTTGTCCTGAGATGACTATCTGGGAACATGTTGCAAGAATACAAATCTTGAGGGAAATGGGTAGGCCTGGAAGTTGTCTTGGTCCTGCTGCCTCTAGTTGCTTAGACCCACCTCCTCTACAAAGCAACTAGAAGCGGCAGGACCAAGACATCTGATTGGTTGGTCCCACCTCTTCTAGTTGATTTGACCCATCTCCTCTACAATCTGTTAGGTTATCTTTCTGAACCAATCATTTTTTCCTTCTGCCCTCAGAACATTTTTGTGTAAGTAAAAGTACTTCATTGATATGAGACTGGAATGTAAAATTGGACATAGACCATTAAACGGGAGGAGAAACTGAAGAGAACTCGTGGTAGAACTAAAGACACTGTATCCGTACACATAAAACCTGAGCTAGATGCATATTTGTGGAGCTCCTTCCTCTCCCTAGTTGCTCTGCTTTCAACAAGAGTAAGGAAGATTGATCAACTTTCACTGAAATTGCGTAAAGATTTCCAAAGCTATGGAGCAATGACACAGAAAACTTGGCCTCTTGTTGCGTGTTTGATTTATTTGTCCAATATG